TCCCTCCTTTCCTCCCTCCCCTTTCCTTCCCTTCTGTTCCTCCCTCCATTCCTCCCTTCCTCCTTTCTTTTCTCCCTTCCTCCTTTCCTCCCTCCCTTCCTCTCCTCCTCCCTCCATTCCTGCCTCCTTCTCTCCCTCCCTCTATTTTTGCTTTCTTCTTTTCTTCCTTCCCTCCCTCCCTCCTTTCCTTCCTCTTGGCAGGCTCTGGCTCCTGTTCTGAGATGCACGGGTTGGCCTGTAGACCCAACTCTCCATCTCCATCTGGAGAAGGAAGTCCCTGGGGCCGCCAGGACATGCCTGGGGCCACACCACAAGCAGAACACGGGGCGCTCAGGCCAGGGGATTTTACAAGTCTCTAGATATGCAGGGTTACCACGGGGTTGGGGGGGTCCCCTCTAAGTGGTTCCCCACCAGTGGAGGAACTGAGAACTTCTCTTGCGAATGTCTTCGTCTCCCAGTGTGATGTGACTAAGACAGGAATTCAAGGCGGGTGGGTGGGGGCTGTGCTTAAATACCAGTCCTCCGCATCCTTTGGCCAGTAGACACCTGGCCTCGGCCTGTGAGCATGGCCAGCCTGCAAGCCCCACTCCTGGCAGCCCTGCTCCTGCTTTTCATGGTGTTTCAAGCAAGTGATTCAGGTGAGCTTGGGGATGGGACGGCTTCCTGTGGAGGCCAAGGCTGAAACGAAGCCACGTTTTTCCTTTCCAGGAATGAGCACTAGACTAGGAGCACAAGAGCCCAATTTGCCATTGGCTCTGTAGCTTCGGATTCATTACGGTGCTTCTCTGGGCCTCTGTGTTCCTCACTCTCACTCTTTCTCTCTCTCTAATGGGCAGTCTTTTTTGTGCTGGTACTGGGGCTTGAACTCAGGTCCCGGGAACTATCCCTTGCTCAAGGCTGATTCTCTACCACTTGGACTACAGCTTTCTGCTAGCTAATTGGAGATAAGAGTCTCATGTCCTTTCTTGCCCAGGCTGGCTTCGAACCAGGATCCTCAGATCTTGGCCTCCCGAGTGCTTGGATTACAGACATGAGCCACCAGTGCCCAGCTTAAATGGGCAAGAGTGGAGGCTTGCTTCTAGAACCTGTTTCAGCTGACTTGGGGGATCTCCTGCCCTAGACATCTGGAACATAGGGTCTTAGGATGTGAGGCAGAGGGTCTGTGGGGTCAGGATCCTGAGAAGCTGGCCCTGACTTCCCATCACCTGGCTTTGCTCTGAAGCCTCTTCTCCACCTCATTGGAGCACCAAGCCAGACAGAAAAGCCAGCACTGGAGTGGGTGGGAGTCAGGCAGTCATGACCAATCAAGGCTCATAGGTCTGGGGTTTCCAGAGAGACATCCCAGCACCACCCCCAGATAGTCAGGTGAGAGGAGGAAATGAAACTCAAGCATGTTCAATGACTTGACCAAGGTGATCTGGCAATTCAGGGCAGAGCAGGACTTGAACCCAAAGCTGTGTGCCTATCCCCTGTCCGAATCTTGGTCCTGGCTCTACCCCAGTTTTGCCCTGTGGCCTTGGTCCAGCGCTTCTCCTTCTCTGGACTGTAATCGTCTCCCTGGAGCTCTGGGAAAGGGGATGGAGGAGACAGAGTTGAAGCAACCTCTCAGTGCTATTTGCACACAGGTGGGGTTGGCAGGGAGGGGAGGGGCAGAGAGCATCTCCCAGGCTCCCAGGTGAGCCATGCTGCTGGTCCTTAGATCTCATTCTGAATAGGAAGCCTCAAAGGCTCCTTCCAGAAGCCTGGGGGTGTCATTGATGCTTGGTTGCTTGGAACCTAATTCCTAGAGCTGACCCTACCAGAGTATATGGAGGCTTTGAGCCCCGTTGGCTTTTCAGAGCTCCAAAGTATGGTTTCTGAGGGCTGCAGAATAAAATTGAATGACCAGTGTAAGGGCTTTGGGGCCACAGCTGACCTCCGTGTCCTCTGCCTGTCCCTCTGCAGCCCCTTATGGCACCAACGTGGAGGACAGTGTCTGCTGCCGTGACTACATCCGCCGCGCCCTGCCCCTGTCTGTGATAAGTCGTGTCTACTGGACCTCGGACTCCTGCCACAGGCCCGGTGTCGTGTGAGTGGGGGAGACTGGGGCCCACAGGGTTTTAGAGGTAGCCCAGGGGTGAGGGAGAAGCAGCGAGGCTCTGAAGGGAGGCCAGGAGGCTCGGCTGGGAGCAATGGCCCAGTCCAGGCTTGGGTGTGCCAAGAATAAAGACAAATACATATATCAGTCAATATCATGGGACACCTAGAATATCCCGGATAGCAGGCCAGGGCTAGATGCATGAGGCATGCTTTTCTGAGCATGTCAGTGTGTATTCATTCATCAACTCTTCAATCCATGGTGTCGAAACTGAGGCTTTGAGGAGCTCCGTGGCTTGCTAAGAAATGGCAGAGCTAGAATTTAACCCAGATGGACAGGCACCCAAGTCCCCAACTCTTGGTTGCAAGGCAATGTCAGTGACATCATGAGACCCTTGGAAATTTTTTTTTGTGGCCTGAAATTTTATTTCGTGACTTGAAATTTTATTTTGTGGCCCAGGACTAGGCTGATAGTCTCAGGAGCTGAGGGTCCAGAAAAGACTTGCAGGGCTCCCTGCCCTTCTTCCCTTAGAGAAATGTGGTCTGCATACAATAGGTGGCTCATCAATGCTGAGCCCCACCTACAGTACATGTCTCATAAAAGCTGAGCTCTCAGGGATGTGTGGCATCCTCACACCCACACTGAGATGTGCCTCTTGGCATTTCCTCCCTCTAGCTTGGAAACCATCAGAGGCCTGGAAATCTGTGCCAATCCCAGAATGCCTTGGGTGAAGAAGCTACTCCGGAAGTTGGGCTAAGGACCTGGGGCTCTGATGACCTTAGCCTTGGCTGTTCCAGGAAGGCTCACCGTGGCGTGCCCTGCCTCTCTGCCACTCCAGCATCTACCAAGCTTCTTTGCATTCCTCCACTTCCACCCTTGCATCTGGCACCTCCAGCCAGGCCTCCCACCCACAACCTCTCCTTTCCAACCTCCTCATCCCTCTTCTGCCCCAGTGTAGCCAGAGGGGGACAGAGACCAGCCCATTTCTTCCCTGGCAAGGTCACAGCTCTGCCTGGTCCCCTGCCCCCTGTCTCCCTCCCCTAACCACCCGGTCCCACTCTCCAAGCCCATGCCAACCATTTCCAGTGTGGATCTCTCCCGGGAGGTTGCTGGTACCCAGAATGCATCTCCCACTGCCTGCTGTGTCCAGCTGCCCCACCCTCCACCGCTCTGCTGGGCCCAAACAGGCACCAGCAAGTTTCACTTCCCAGACTTGCCTGGCCAGCTGGCCCTCTGCTTGCTCTTGACAGACCTGACCGCAGTCTGCTCATAATTCCTGGGGTGCAGGGCTTGTCTTCCAGCCTCACTGGGTGAATGGAAAACTTCCTGCCTCCCTTGTCCTCACTGCTCCTTGACTTCTGGACTCCAGCACTGATCCCGGCTCAGAATCCCGCCTCAGAAGGGGTCTTCAGACTGAATAGGTGAAAGTAACTTCTCCCCACTCTCCACAAACACCAATTACCTGGAACACAGACAGCCCATCCTTCTAGTCAGCTGGGTCATCATCTTATTTCAACCTCACATTGGGTCTTTTTGCTTGTTCTTCTATTAGACTTTTAGTGTTCTTCCAGGTCCCAACACTTAGACCTGTCAAGCTTGCCCCCTTCCAATTCCCTTGTTTCCTTCCTTCAATAGCTGAAAAGCAAATTCTTTTTTATTTTATTTATTTTTATTTTTTTGTGTGAGAATACTTTACAGAGGAGTTACAATTACATGGGCAAGATAACGAGTACATTTCTTATCAAGCATTGTTGCCTCCTCTTTGTTTCCCCTTCTCATTCCTTCCCATTCTCCCCCTCCTCCCCCTACCAAAGTTGTAAGGTTCGTTTTTGGACATAATGACTTGTACATCTCATTGTGGCAATGGGTCCACCTGTATCCCTAAACGATTTGTTTTTTTCCCTTCCCCTCCACAAATTCTACCAACATCAAATACAGTGAAAGCAAGGGTTATACCATGGGGGAGGGTGAAAAGCAAATTCTTGATATAGTGTCAATGACTACCTTGGCTTAGTATTATACACTATGGTTATCTTTATATAGGAAAAGAGGGTAACTATGGGACCAAGTGGCTGAATGGGAGAATTTTAGATAGTAAAGGGATGGATACATGAGGTGGCACTTTCCTGGCCCCCAGAGGCAGCTGGCTGTGGTGGGGTACACACCACAGCATGTCAGGGAAGGGTGCTGGCCATGAACAGAGCTCTCCGAGTCCCAGAATCCCTCCTATGTCATGCTGTTGCTGCTTAGACCTTCTGGAAAATAAATAGTTTCCAACAGTATTGGCTTGGTTGTGGTCCTTGTGAACTATGGCAGGCATCACAGTCCCTGTCTCCCACAGTGGGGGATCTGACACTGAAACACCACATGGCTTCCTACGGTGAGTGGACACAGGGGCCAGACAGGCAATCAATCACATGGGTGTCAACTGGGAAGTGAAGGCGTGTGTTCCGGAGCGCTCAGCCACCTGCCCAGGCGGCCCAGGGACCAGGATCAGGAGGCCTTACAGACCCAGCCATTCCATCTGGACTTCCAGGCAGCTGTTCAATGCCCGCCCGGGTGACACTCTTTTTTGTTTTTGTTTTTCGGTTGTGGGGCCTGAACTCTGGGCCTAGGCGCTGTCCCTGTGCTCTTCAGCTCAAGGCTAGCACTCTACCACTTGAGCCACAGCACCAATTCCGGTTTTTTTCTTTTTGCTTATGTGGTGCTGAGGAATCGAACCCAGGGCCTCATGCATGCAAGGCAAGCGCTCTACCACTGAGCCACCTTCCCCCCTTAGCTTTATTTTTTAAAATAAGGTCTTACATTTGCCTAGGCCAACTTTAGATCTTGATCCTCCTACTAAGACTCCTCCTACTTAAGCTGGGATTAAATGTAATCATCACTAAATCTGACTTTGTTAACTTTTTTCCTCTCGTTTGGTCTTGAATCATAATCCTGATCTCTACCTCCTGTGCTGTGAGCCACTGCACCTGGCTCATATACCCACATTTCTTCTTCTTTTTCCTTTTTAAATACATTTTTCTTATCCCATTTAACAAAGCAGTTTTTGAATAAAACACAACTTGATCAATATCACACTTTCATCATTCTCTCCATCCCTCCCAACCCCACCCCTTCCCTCAATTTTCTTAATTTTGCAGGATATGCATTGCATCTGTGCCCTCTTTCTTGCCTGCTTGCTATTATTATTTTTTCCTGTCCTGGGGCTTGAACTTAGGGCCTGGACACTATCCCCCAGCTTCTTTTGCTCATTTAGTGCTCTATCACCTGAACTACAGCTCCACTTCAGGTTTTTTAGTAACAGTTTATTGGACATAAGAGTCTCATGAACGTTGCTGCCTGGGCTGGCTTTGAACTATGATCCTCAGATTTCAGCTTCCTGAGTAGCTAGGATTACATGTGAGCCATCAGTTTTTATTTTTTGTTTTTGTTTTTTTTGGGGGGGTCCAGTTGTGGGGCCTGAACTCTGGGCCTGGGCACTGTCCCTTAGCTCTTCAGCTCAAGGCTGGCTAGCGCACTACCACTTGAGCCACAACACCACTTCCGGCTTTTTTCTTTTTGCTTATGTGGTGCTGAGGAATCGAACCCAGGGCCTCATGCATGCAAGGCAAGCGCTCTACCACTGAGCCACCTTCCCAGCCCATGTGAGCCACCAGTACCTGGCCTGTGTCCACTTTTTAATTTTTCCCAATCCTGGAGCTTGAACTCAGACACTGTCCCTGAGCTTTTTTGCTCAAGGCTAGCACTCTACTATTTGAGCCCAATACCACTTCTGACTTTTTCTGTTTATGTGGTACTGAGGAATTGAACACAGGGCTTCATGCATGCTGGGCATATTCCCAGCCCTTGGGTCCACTTTTCTAACTGTCATTTCTAGTTATCCCTTGTCTCAAAGCCTTCCCATCTTTCCTTTGCTTTTGTTCTTTACTTGGCTTCAGAATCTTTCATACTGTGGTCCAATCATAGCCTCTCTCATGACCCCATCCTCAGAGCCAAAGGCCTGGAGCCATGTCCTGAAGGGGGCAACTGAACCTTTCATCTTGACTAGTCTCTTCCCTCTATCTGAGTGGGTGTCAAAATCCTGCCTGGAGCCAGCCTTCCTGAGTTACAAGGGAAAACACTGCAGTGGAGAAATGGCTCATCCATCATCAGTCCATAGACCAATAGCTGTGACCGTGTTTGCCTGCTGTCACTGAAGGGTGAAATACCCACAATTATTCCAGTGGACCCTTGCCAAGAGCATGTAACCCTGGTCTAAATGGGCCTGCAGAGCTCAATTCTGGTTTATAGGAAATAATATGAGATAAAGGAATACATTACATGAGTCACAAGGAAATACCTTGGTGAGTAGAGAATGAGAACTTTTTTTCCAAGACAATGCAAAGTCAATTCCAAAGTCAGTGTTATTCAAAAACAAAACAAAACAAAAACAATGAAGATTTATGTCATCTAAAAAAAAAACAAAAAGATGGGCTGGGAAGGTGGCTCAGTGATAGAGTACTTGCCTTGCATGCATGAGGCCCTGGGTTTGATTCCTTAGCACCATAAGCAGAAAAAGCTGGAAGTGGTGCTGTGGCTCAAGTGGTAGAGCACCAGCCTTGAGCTGAAGAGCTGGGGGACAGTGCTCAGACCCAGAGTTCAGGCACCATGACTGGCAAACAAACAAAAAGACAAAAAGAAAGTAATCCTCAACCATATATAGACCTAGACTGGATCCTGGTTCAAAATTAAAAGCAAGCTGAACACTGTAATCCTAGTTATGCAGGAGGCTGAGATTTGAGATTTGAAGCTAGCTTGGACAGGAATGGCCATGAGACTTTTATCTCTAATTAACCACCAGAAAGGTTGGAAGTGGAGCTGTGGCTCAAGTGGGAGAGCACTAGCCTTGAGCATGATAGATCAGGGACAGCTCCCAGCCCCTGAGTTCAAGCCTCAGAACCAGCATATCCTTACCTTTCTTACCTCCTCCCCCATCTCCTTTTCTTTTATCTTTCTCCTCCTTTCTCCTCCTTCTCCTTCTTCTTCTCCTTCTTTTTGTTGGTTGTGGATCCTGAACTCTGGGCCTGGGTGCTGTCCCTCAGCTCTTCAGCTCAAGGCTAGCACTCTACCACTTGAGCCACAGCACCACTTCTGGCTTTTTCTGC